TCCAGGCGCTTGCCTGGCGGGCGCGACTTGGTCACGCGAGGCAAGGACCATTTGGAATACGCCTATCTGAGCCTGCCCAACTAAACACAAGCATTGTGCATATGTATGTGCATATGCATATACACATGCATATACATATCCATGTATGTACATATATACATATGTACATATATACCCATATACATATATACTTATATGTATATATCATAAATACATCATATATACATCATGAATACATCATATATACATCATATATACACCATATATACTTCATATGTATATGATAAATTCATCATGTAAACATATATCCACGTATAGATATATACATATTTACACATATATATATATACACGTGTGCACTTACATGTGTAGAAATATTATATGTATATATATATATTAGGTTCAGCCCCCCCCCTTTCCCTGCATGGTCTGCGTTTCTGCGCTATCTGCGCTAATCTGTACGGTTTCCAAACTCATTGGCAACAGATTTATGCAAATACGTGGTCATTGCTTAAAAACGAGATAATGCTATTTTGCTGAAGTCAATTATTGTCATACTCGGTAAGTTATCTTAATTAAAACTGCTGAACAGTCATCTTTGTAGCTAGTCCACCAGGTGCTCCAGGTTGGCCTGCTGAAAGCGTGGGCTGATGTGCATCACCAACGGTCATGAATGATTACTGAGTCCCTTCTCAATGTACCAATCAATGAGTGTCAATGGCACTGAGCCAGTGTCATGACAAGATCAGGTCAGGCCACACATTTTTCAGCCCCCCATCTTGTACACAGGCAACACCAAAGGCTCCACAATATGTAATCACTTTGCAGCAGCCAACGAATGTGATCAGATTCCTAAAGCTAGGTTGCTCAATGACAGTCAAGTTGTTGAGGAGGATGGGCACCATGAACAGCAGCGCAGTCATTTCAGCAATTGTATTACCCACTTTTTGCAAAGTCCCGGGAAGTATCACCGTAAAAGTCATGCGATTGACGTCTGAGGCTGGCACTGAAGCAAACAATGACGCACGACGAGCAGGGCGGTGCAAACCAAGTCATTGCTTTCGCGGATGTTGAGCACAAGCAACCAGGAATAATTGCAAGCCAAGTGATGCCAATATGTTGTGACCATCTGGTTCATGCAATGTATCAGAGCTGGCTCCTGGCTTCAAGCCAGCGCGCGAAAGCTGCTTTGAAAGATTGCCAGTTCCTGCAAACTATTCAATCCAGCGTCCAATATTGTGAAATCCTGCTTCACGGCGTTGCGATCGTCACGGCCAGACAGAGACCTGCTGAGGATCCTTTGCGAAACCCAGTTGTCCCGGACAAACGTCACGACAGCGTCGCGTGTGTCGTGCGAATTGGCCGCCTCCAGGCCTGGCACACCTGTTTGCCCACCAGCCGTGGCCGCTTCACCTCCGCCATTGCTGCGGGCCCATCTCGCCGGCAAGGCTGCTTGCAAAGACCGTCTTCCCCAACCTGGGCGGTCCATCCAGCAACAGAAACTTGCGCCGAAACATCGGGCGAACTGCGGGAGGAAGTCTCACTCAACTTGATCACGCAGGAACATCAGCGCTGCTGCAGCCTTGGCGTCCTGCCGCTGACAGCGTTCCCAAGTACGGACGTTGTCAAAAAAACGCCTTGATGTGCTTCTTGGCACGGACGTGCTGGCCCTCCGCCCATGACGCAAGGCCCAAAAGAAGGCGCCAGCACGACCCGCTGTCTGAGGAGCCGATCGCCAGAGAGGCGAGGTGCGTCGGCAGGCTGGGGCGCTGCTCTGGCTCGTCATCCTCTGAGTGTTGCTGCAAACAAGCACCCTCTCCGACGCGCACGCAAAGCGGCTGGACCGGACGGGGTTGAGGAAGGCCAGGACAAAGTTGTCGGCAAAGCGCGGCCAGGACCAGAGTTCGCGGTCGGCCTGTGCAAGGACCTGCTGAAACTGGTAGTACTGGAAATTCTTCCGTGTGCCGCCAGCACCAGGTCAAGATACCGGCAGGGAGCGCATGTGAGCGTAATCACGCCAGTTCGAGGCCTTGTAACCAACATCGTATTTGGAAAAGAAGGAGCCTAAGAGGCGTTAAAGGAACTTCACAAGCAGCTTTAAAAGGATTTGCACACGGACAAGAAGCTTCACAAAGGACCTTTACAAGGATCTTTCCAGCTAGCCCTACAAAAAGGCTTGTACGGAGCCCATGAGAAGCTTTAGCTTTGTAAGCAGCTTTGTAAGGAGCCTTGGAAGGAGCCTTGTGAGGCTTGTGTCAAGAATTTAAAGCCGGCTGTTGAATTCTACTTTAAAATCAAACAATCTGCTATTGTTGTATTGTATTTAAGTTCTAATATTTCTTTAATTAAAGTCCTATTATGTAACAGATTACGCGTTTCAGTCTGATCTAGATTGAGGTCGCTGACTGCGCTGAAAAAAGAAGTTCAGCTAAAGATGTCAAAATACAGCAGGGCGTGTGCATATATCGTCACACCTTCGACAAGAACATAAGGGAGCAACACACAACAGCCCCACTTGATGAGCAATGCCCACAAACAAACAACTCAGCGTTTTGTTGGTTTTCTGAAAGTTTCAGAAGGAACATTATTTTGTGGCAGATCCTGTCAAAAAATCTGAGGGAAAACCAAGAAAGGAAATAACCACTCGAGAAAACCAAACAACAAAAATACCAATCTCTGGGGGAGAATCTTTGGTTTCAGCTTTGACTTGTTGGTTTTCTCAAGGGTTTGTTGGTTCTTTTGGTTTCCATCAGATTTGTGATTGAGAAGGCCAGATTTTCCCAAACCCAAAAAACCCGAGTGTTTCTGTGTTACTTTTGTTTGTGAGGGATAATGTCAAAACACCAAAACAACCTTGAGAAAACAAGCAAAAGCAAAGCGAGGGGCTGAAACCAAAGATTCTCTCCCAGAGATTGGTATTTTTGTTGTGTGGTTTTCTCGAGGATTTCTACTCTTTTGGTTTTCTCTCAGGGTTTTGCCACTCACATAAAGCAAAACAACTCGAGGTGTCTTCCCCGAATTGCCCACCGTTTTGTTTTTTTGTTGTTGTTTATCTTAAATGATTTAATGCTTGCATATTCCAAAAAAATGGCAAACAACAAAATGTGTTTTTTGGCACTTCGTAGGAGTAGAACACAAGAAAACACTGTAGAACTGCCTGTTTTATGTCATGGCCAACTCAATGTGGGATGCCGGGATGCCCCCAGAGACCAGAATCCGGGCAGGGCTGTTGTGCATTACAGTTCATGATTCTGCATCTTGAATATAAGTATGCAATTGAATAAAAAGACAAGACACCAGGCAGTCTAGCATTAAACACGCACATTTTCCATACATACGAAATAGTTCGACAGACTTCAAGACAAAACAGGTAGATCATGGGGGGCTGAACATTGATGTATGTATATATATATATGGAAACAATATATGATATATGTTTTTTTTCTATGGCAGTTCTTGTTCGGATACCAGAAACGTTGGCCGTCTTTTCTTGTTCCCTTCTTTACTTTTTGCAGTGTTGATGAAACACAAGGACGTGCCTCATACTCCGTCAAAGGCCAGACAAGAGCTTGTGAAAGAGCAACAGCCACATGCCGTCTCACAGGTTCCCTCCGGCATGAAAAAAGCAACCCCAGAATGAAACAGAGATGACCCGGCAGATTTGTCCAACCCATCAGAATCAAACTGGAACTAATGCTCTGGGCAAGTCTCAGATCCCTTCACCCAAAAGTTCCCCACTGGCACGGCGAGGGAATGCTAGGCCCGTGGACTTCCTCGCGTTCCATATCCCAGCTTAGAAACCATCAAAAACACAGCTAACATGCGTATTGTGTTCAGCAACAAACTGGGCGACTATTCAGGCAAGCTGCTGTCTACCAACGGCAGGTGCGAGGATGATGGCACGCTGACCATTTTGTATCCAAGCACGTCTCTCAGGGTCTTCCACCGTTCTGAAGTGTGCCGAAAACGCTTCTTAAATCCCAGAATCCCATGACCGAGCAAAACACTTGCGAACAACTCTCAGTTGTTGGGCTTCGTGGCATTGCCCCTGCGACTGCACTGTCTGGCAGCATCCCTTGTCAATACCATTGGAATCGACATTAAAAGGAAGCTGCTTCTAGCGTTGTTCTTCCTGCGAAAGCTTGCCCTATGCAACCTCACCATGATCTTGTTTCAATTGCGCCCAAGAGATCACAAGAGGCGCAGCCATCACAGCCTTGAGCCCTTGAGCCAGAGAGCGGCGTCATTGAAGCACATAGCACTTCGGGGTAGATGTTGAGGGGATGGTCTCTCTGCTGGACAAATCTCAATATGCTGAACCATGTTCTAGCCGGCAGCTCCGTCTTGCGAATGGGAGGGATTCAAACCCAACTTGGAAAACACACACAGGGACAACAGTTCCATCACTGACAAATTCACCTCGGTAGTTCCAGAAGGTGGCAACAAAGGAACCCCCGCATAACCCCCGCATAAATGTATTCCAACTTGCAAGCCTTGAATCATCCCACCACAAAGTCTCAGAAGTCGTGCCTGTGATAGCTCTTTTGAGCAAGTCGCCAGAAAGGAACGTGGTTTCACTCCCTGTACTTGCATCTAAGGAATTGCGAAGTGACTAGCTCGCGAAGCAACCGCGTGTTCTAAAGTCCTGCATTGGCCACCTAAGGCCACCCTTATCTGACTGGTTGATTTTGAAGGGGAAACAAGTAATGAGTCCCAAATTTCAATATGTCCACCTGACTTGATCTAAACTGCGAATCTGACCAGGACCTACATGGAAATCGGTCTTTTGACCTCCAAATTCCTGACAGAATCTCCAAGTTCGGCAGTTACCAGGATAACCGAGCTCATACTTCTGATTGAAATACTACCAGAAAAAGAAGAAGAAAAAAGAAGAAGCTGGAATTCCTGTAAGCTGAGAGATTCTCCCCGGTCCCATATCGAAAACCCCGTCCAAAACAAAGAAAGGTCCTCGACACCTGGATTCCAAGCCCACTCGGGGCCTCCATGCTCTGCAAGTGGGCCTTGGCCAAATTCTCCAGTTCCTTAAAGAAACCAGCAGGTGGCCGCGCATGCATTATATCTCTGGTAACATAGGGTGGTTCTTTGGTTTTTGTGGTTGTTTGTTTTTCTTTGGCAGGGGGGGGCCCTATTTACAGAGGGGAGCACTTCTGCAATATGTATTACACTGGCTCGGAAGTCAGAATCTGATCAGAAAGTCAGGCAATCAACGGGAGTCCTGTCTCAGTACTCCCAATCCCTCGTGCCACCTATGGACAACAGAACGGTTTCGGCTGTCCAAAGACAAACCAAAGGTAGCGTGATTGACAAATGGTACATACGCAGCTGGAAATCCTGGACGAAGGCCCTTGAAAGGGCTCTATGTTGTGTTGGGTACTTCGTACCTAGGATATCAACTAAAAAGGATTTCTCTTTAGCATCACCAACCACCCGACTCAAGTCACCTCAGGACACTGCTGCAATCACCTGTCCTAAGCAGAACATGGGTGCCTTTGAAATGGGCACCTCGGCAATTTGATGTCCCTTGGTTTCCCTTGCTTTCCATCCAAGTTTTAGGACTCCCACATCAAGCTGGTAGTTGAGCCTCTTTGCATTTGGCCTTTTTTCATTGGTAATTCCGCCTCCTACAATCCATGTTCGGATGAGCTGCTGTTCTTCATTGTTCATTTTTAGATAGCTTAAGCTGTGCCTCTTTGTTCAGGGCTAATCAGCGACACTGTCTTTCCTACGTGAAATACCCATCTTTGCTACGCTATTCCAGCTATTGTGCGTTCGAGAGAAACCAGCCTTTCACCCAAAGTAGCCGCAGAGTCAAGCTCAAGGTCCTAGCAACCAAAGCATGACACACGAACACATCAGGGAGTACGTCTCACTAGAGCATAAAATTGACGTGCATGTCATGTCCCAAGTGGAACAGGCACAGAAGGTAACAGGCCCCTCCTCCCCAATGTGTCACACAGCAGTTGGTGTCAGTGCAGGCAATGTAACAGACAGGCCACCAACCCTGCACCAAACCGCAATCACCGCACAAGGCCAAGCTCACTCTTCTTGCGCCTGCCCACCATATCGTGCATTCCAGATAGCCTTCTGGATGCTCGCAAGATGGGGCAGGACACCAGCACCTCTTGTTGAAACCACCCAAGCCGGGTGTGCAGAACATCTGCTGGCTCAGGTCTGCCAAGGACGAAGGAACTTTGCCAGGCTAGATGGCGCCAGTCCCCTCTTTCCTCAGGTAAACCAAGCAGGGGAGACACTGGCACCGAGCACTACTGATCTGAAGATCACATGACTCATTCCGGCAGCTTCGTGTCTACCAGTGCTGCGGGAACTTCTGAAGACACCACCACTTCCAGCCACGACGCAGTTGATGCTTCCAGACATCCATGGCGAGAAGATGGTGATAAAACACCGTGTTCGCTTATTTCAATGGGAACACCCACTTAAGTAAACCTGAACAACACAAGTCTCAATTTCTTGAGGGAATGGACGCAACAGTCTGAACGAGACTCGGATGCTTCGACGTAAGCAGATTCTAACCAGGGTTATTGAGTGGGAAACCAGGGGCTGCTTCACTTCCAACCATAATTGCGCAAAGGTATAGCCTACTTGCGTAGTCGCACTTCCTGAGTGGATTGGCCAAACAAGTCCGTAGACTTTGCTTTTGCTACTCACATGGTCTTCCCAAAGGGATAAAGTCCTGGAACTCACGGAGAGAGCAGTGTGTTGAGCATCCGCTAGTTTTCCTTTCGGAAAGCTATCAATCCAGGGCCATCTACTCTTTCAACCAAACTGACCCACCGATGAAGGGGTTGTATCCGTAGATTCCAGTCGACCTACCCTGTTGTCCCACGTATACACCTGGTTATATAAATCACAAGCTACTTCTGCAGGTTGAACATCCAAAGGGGGAACCAACATAAGAACACAAACATCTATCACTATGACCCCTAGAAAGACCAACTCCCCCACTCGTGGCGCAACCAACGGGCCACAACCGTGCCGGGCGTGTCCTGCACATCCCTGCGGCTGCGGAAGCCGCCGCCGATGGCCACCACGGAGCCGCTGGCGTAGGAGCCGTCCTTCCTGACGGACCGTGGGCCAACGAGGATGCCCCTGCACAGGCGGGTGATGGCGGGTGGGAGGCATCTTTGTCGAAGCCCTTCTTGGATTCCTCAGTTCGAAGGGAAGTGAGGATGGGCGCGCAATCGAGCCTACAACATGTTCAAGAGAGAGAGGTAGAGAGGCAGGGAGAGCAAAACGGAGGCGACCCCCAAAGATCCCAACAAGAGATAAGGATCTGTTTGTGGTTTCAAGTAAAGAAATGAGGAGGATTGTTTAGACGTGGACATGAGGCAGCTGGATCGAACCGAACATTGAACCTTCGGCCAGCATGTTTTTGAAGACTCCATTGTGAACAGCAATGCCGACTCTTTCTTGGCAGCTTGGTGGATTTGAACTTTCTGCTTCAGGGTAATACTGGGGAAGCTGCCCGCCCACGAAATCACCCGGCTCAACGAAGCTGAGGGGTGCAGCACTCGACCGGCTGGTAGGCCGCGCCTCCGCGTCAAGGTCTTTGCCTCGCCAAGCCGAGAACGAGGAGCCAAGCGGTTGGAGCTAAGCCAGCAGTTGCGTGCATTTGGGTGTCGATTCTGGGGGGTAGCCTGAACAAAGGCACAGCCAGGTGCATGGCATTGGCAACCACACACTTCTCCCGATTCGGCTGGTTCTTTGGAGAAACAGAAGCCAATGTGGGCCTTTCTACAGGAAGTGCTTTTTTCAGACAGAAAGCAAATGAAGCCGGGTGAACAAGTTGCGCAGTGCCGGGGTGATTTAGCTCATCCTTGAATTGATTTAGAGAAGAGCCCACACGTCGGGCGATCCTTTTGAACCCTTGCATCATGAGCCTAGGGCCAAAAAAGCTGTGCCCAAGCGGCATCCAAAAGGCCCAGGCTCCGCGGAAGCTGCCCTGCTGGCGCATCAATCTGGCGACGGCTTGGGACACTTGTTCAACTTCGGCTGGCGAGCTGAGGGGAATGCTGGCTATCTATGTACATATATATATATATATATTTATATTTATATATTTATGTAGGGGTAGCAAGCAAACATACATTGGCCTTTTGGTGTGACCCCGCTTGTCGGCACCGAGTCTACAGGTCAAGCGCCATGTTTCAAACACGGCGAGGTGGAACGAGTTTCGAGGACCCAAAGCTTGTTGACCAACTCTCTTTCGTCCAAACGTGGCGCCCTTCATCGACAAGTGCTCAATCGGCAAAGCGTGGCGGGCGGACGACTCTGCGCCTTGAAAAAAAAAACGCTCTTTCGTCGCTCAGAGACGCATACACAGAGCAAACTTAAACTATTTGAGCTTAGTTCAACAAAAGCACAAGCTACGCACAACACGACTCAGGGCTGCCTGTTTGTCCAATTGTTATTCCTGCTGATACACATACGTCACTCGTTTGTTGGGGGCGAGGCTTCCGTACTCAGCCCAGCAGGCATGCGGAGTTGACATATCATGTGAAGCGCCCAACTTGTGATAAGCTGAGCAGGGATCCTTACATTATACACCTGAACATTGCCTTGTCAATGGTCCCTTATTTTGGTGGAAAAAGCCATGTTTCAAATGGGCAAAATGTATCTTTTAAGGAGCCCTGCTGAGGTAAGGACCATAGTAGGACACGCCTGGACTGCGAGATTTGCCTGGCCAAAGTAAAAAGGCAACAGAATGTAGCGTCGACTCGTCCCGCTGGCATGAACCGTAAAGGAGACCATACGCTTGCAGGCAACATGACATTCGGTTTCAGCGGTGCCTCATACATTCACCAATCTCTGCACAAACAAATAAACATCATACGTTCTAGCCCTTCTTCTCCTGTGCGCTGCCGTATGCTCCACGATCTCTTGCGATCCAACTAGCGCATGGAAACGCGCGATGCACAAATAAACAACCTGCACGGGGCATCCTCAGGAAGACAGTCTTCATCACGGACCACGGACGAGGTTGCCTTTTGGACACGACGAGTTCTGCTGTCCAAGCTGTCGTTGCCTGTGATGCACAGATGGACTACCCATGCTGATGAGAAATTTACAATGTGGGCCGTAGGAGATTGCAACCGGACAAGGTGTGGCAGTGACCAAAATCAATGACGAAACAAAATGAATCCGAATGAGGGCCCGAAAAACATTTGGCACCGTGTTCCAGGTTCCAGTTCCATGTTTGCCCTTTAGGGAGGGCAAGGATCCTGACAGTTCGTTGACGCAAGGATCACAGCACACAGCAGCACAACGTCGACAAATCGGATCGCGGCCCCTGCCTCGGCCCTTTGCGTCTTGCTCCTGCCAGCACAAAGCCAATTCCGGCTCTGCGAACTTGCCAAATGGTTTGTCACTGATTTAGCGGCACCAACAGCAGTCACCACATGATCCACCTTGCGCGGACCTGTGCAAAGAATAGGCACAAGGACACAGTGTTGGGTCCATATTCATTAGCAGTTTTGAGGCCTCCACAAAACTGAACAGGACCCACAGCAGCCCTGGGAACTGCGACCTGCTCCTCTCATGGACATGGCCAACAAACAACTCTATATAGGGCTTTCCTTCGGCTTCCCGAGCCGCAAAAAATCACACCACCCGAATAGGAACACCTGGTAAACTTCTGAGAAATCCCACCACTAAACACTAAACAGCTCAAAGAACCTAACAAAATAGCTGGGAACCGCCAGGAAACTGAATCCAAAAGTCACCTTTCCACATTTAAGCAACTGGGAACTGGCACCAACAAATGGGGCCCGACATCTGCACCGAACTCGTGCCTCCATGGCCTGCAGCGCTTTCTGCTCCGCCTCCTTCTCCTGAACATGTGGCTGAAGCAGCCCTGGGCGGCTGGGCAAGGGGATCCAAAAGCTAAGGGCAAACGCGGCTTTTGAAGGCTGGACCCATGGGTGTTTTGTTCTTTTGGTTTCCCTTTAAACCAGCCCCTGAAAGGGTACCGAGCCTCAAAACAAGCTGGACGAGCCACCCAATTCTATAGTTCATAACAACACCCAGCCGCAAGGCTTACCTTGGCAGCTTTCTGGATTTCGGATCCCTGGAAAGCACCTGACAGTTTCTAGAAACTTGTCTAAAGTTGCAACATGGATCGAATAACACCAAAGGTAACAGCAGCACTCCAGACCCTCTTTGCGGCTGCAACACAACATACTGGTTGAACATGTTTACCAAGCTTGCCTGGTGCCTTCAACTCCTTCACGGGTTGAAAGGTGCAAACGTTTGTTGCTACTCGCGCTGCTGTCCCAGTCATTCCTAGCCTCACTTGCAACAATGATCAATGTATTTGCGGTTCCTTCCATGCCTCAATCAGTTGATTGGATGCAACCAGTCGTTGAGACAGCCTCAAGCGGTCCGGCACTTTTTTGCGAACGGAATTGAAAGCGCAGGATCAATGATCTCTTGAGAGCTCTTACGATGAGCGGCGGCTCAACTTGCTTGTTCGTAGCAGGGATAGGATCGATCCACAAACGTGCCTTCCTACCCTTTCGACGCCCTTTCAGTTCTACAAAAGACACAATATTGAGTGGTCGACTTTGGTCAATCAGAGTGCTTAAAAGAGAGAGCTGCCTGCATCGTTTCCTAGTGCTTGCCCTCGAAGCACCCTCCAAAAGGTTAATTTGTTTGTGTCTCCAACTTTGAAACAACCAAACAAAGAACGAAAGAAACAAACTCACCCACCCAACCCAACCCACCCCACCCCAAACCAACCCACCCACCCCTACTCCCCTCAAACAAAAAAAGAGACCCACAAACACGCAAACGGACAAAGAAACAAAGAAACAACAAAATTGAGAGTAAGCAAAACAGCAACTAAGCAAAGACAGAAACAAAAAAGAAAGAAGAAACAAAGAAGGAAACGCACAGGCACACATTCACGCAGGCACGCAGGCAAGACCCACTTTGCTCTTTTCCTACTCGAGCCGTCGAATTCGGAAGCCGCCTTGGCCTTGCGCAGCGCGTCGAAGACGGAGACGAAGGACGCGGGCAGCGGGCGCTGTGGCTGCACCTCTGTGCGCTATAGGTTCGAGTTTTGATATGGACCCCCTTTTGGTTATGCAAAGGGAAACCAAAAGGACAGCAACACTTATTACCAATAGGGGCCTTTGGTAGACATGAGACTTGGGTGACCACTTGGGTGGGGATTCAGGTCGACCGCTATTGGAGTAGTTCCAAAAGTGCACTTTAGACACTAAGTGTTTTTAACACTAGGTCAAGGCTAAATGGTCTACCCTCCAAACACTATACCTTAGGTAGAGGGTACGCTTGTTGCGAACCGATCTGGGCTATTAGGGAAACTGCCAGGAATCCCCTGGCCTCCCTGCAACTCTGAGGCTCCTAGCACGGCCTCTGATTCTATGATTCCACACTGCATTTGAAATGGCAAGCATCCTTCCCCATGTAGCTTCCATAGCACTTGATAGGACCCCCCCTTTCTGCGCACCTCATCCGGCTTTGGCGGGAGGCACGCCTGCGCAAATAATGCTGACGCGCGAGCTGTAGATTTCAGGCAACGTGTTTCAACCCTGGACGTATTTTCTCAAAGAGGTTTACTGTAACTTATGTAAGAGAGCCATGACTACTGATCGTATCAGTACACTTATTCTGACCACTATTCTGATCGTATCAGTGCATATTCAATCGTGGAAAATTTAGCGGGTTGCTGATGTCAATGCGTATTTCTCAAACACAAACAAATCTTTGAAACAACAGTGTGTCGTGTTCGTGTTTCTTGGCTTCGCCGGCGCTTTGTTTTGTTACTTCAAATTGGCCTGTCGCTAATCATGCTGCCATGTTGCCGCATCATGGGGCCTGCTAAAATGGCAGAACCTACTGTAGCACGTCAAACTAGGGACACTGCTGCCGGATGGTTAGTTTCAATCGTTCCCCATTGAGCTGGTCACGAAAGGGCTCCGGATGGCCAGCGAACTTCTCCAATTGCAGCTTTGCCAATCCTCAACTATGAAGCCTTTCTGGAGAGGCCCAATAAAATACATAACACAATGACCTGCCTGGAAGACGGGCCCTTGCCCTTACAGCGCCCGAGTCTCAGAGGTGACTTCTTGAACCTTGCGCACCACAATCTGACTTCTACAATTCACAAACTGGAAGCAGGAGATCCGCATCTTAAGCAAGGTCTTCGTCACCGTCACCACTGGGCTTGCTTCGCTCCCTTTTCCGAGCTTCAGGAGCCAAAACATCCTGTTTGCATCGCATCACGCGATGCGGCCTTGGGCTCTCCGAAGCCCAGCAAGGCCTTCTCAAGCAGACCCTCAACAAAACATCCTCGAAGTTGCAAGTTGCAAGTTGCAGGCTGCAACCCTGCAAATGTGGGAGCGGAATTGAGCTCAATCCAACAGTCTCAGCTGAAGCTGTGCATCTGATCGACCTTTGGGAATTCTGCATCCCACTCAGGGAATGAGGCTGACAGGGCCATCTCCGTAAGGCTTTCAGGGTGAAATCCGATTGGTGACATTGGCCTGTCTCAGTGGCCCACATGGTCTCCTCACCGGGAATGTGAGTAACACGAGGGCAAAGGGTTCACTAAATAACTTGGAGGCGCCCGCTTCAGACAACATCCCTGACCCTTCCAGCTATTGAACTCCCAGACCTGGCACCAAATGGTCTGTCTAAAGGAACGCCCTGAACAATACTCCTACAGATTCTCTAGCACGTCTACTAGCGCAAAGAAATCTTATGGGTGCCTTTGATCTATTATGTTTCAGGGAACTGGGGAGGATTTTACGGACTCCTCTGCGAAACCGTCAAAACCAAATCGATCCGTTCGCACCTCCGCCACCTTCCGCCAGTCCCCATCGCTGGCCAAGGTTTGCCGGTGGCCCACTATGAAGAGCTGCATCCTGCCAGGCCCCAGCCCCCAATCCAAATCCACCATTAGTGCCCAAGCCTCATGGAACACCTGGATACGTGAGCCCAATGCAAGCAACCTGAGGCTAGGTGACCGGCCCAGATCGTTCCGAAACCGACGCTTTACCGGCTCTTAATCAGGCCTTCGTGACCCTATGTCGAATCCATGACAGACTGAAGGCAAGCCTAAGCTTGTCAAACGGAGCTGGCCAGAATCAAGCCCGGAGCCTGACACAAACCTGAAGAAATCACGCTGAACCAGCCTGAAGCAATCCAGCCGAATTCTATCCACCTGTTGTGCTTGCCCCACTCAGCTTTGAGTCAGGGAATCAACCAATGCCGGATTCTTGTTAAGCCAAGGTAAGAAGCCCGCCTAGAGCGAGATGTCGCCACACAAATGCGCTGAGCGTCCTGCACCAAACCCACCAGCCATCAAAAGGGAGTTGGAGGTTTCCTGGCATTTCACTTGCGCGGCTACTGACTTACAGGACTGGTAACACCAAGGACGGCCTGTGCAATTTCGCAGTTGACCTGAGTCCCACGATGTCAAGTCAAACCGGACACCTGACCCAACAGCCACGCGTCTTCCCAACAAGGATGCGCAGTGGGCTTCCTGGATTTGGATCTGCACAAAATACTTTTAGCTTGGTAGCTACAAGTATCATCTCTTGCTTTGCGCATGTTTGGTGTGTGCTGTTCTCTCAAGAAAACCGCCTCCTGCATCTCTTTGAGCAGCCAAACAACTATGAGGACAAACATTTGGGGCCAAACGCGCATTGCAAGAACATCTCTGTCAAGCATTTGTGAGGATTCCCCATCAACTGGATTGGCCACCAAATATCGGCTGATCTACTCCCGCATCTGTCCCTGCCCTTGCCCTTTCCTTGGGATCCAGCAGCCAGGGTAACTGCTGCAAACACAGTTTCATTGGGACCATGAAAGTGTCGCATGTGCACAGGAACCACTGTTGAAATCGAATCAACCAGAATCATGTGATATCATGCATGATTGTGGATTATCATGGACAAGCACCAATCCTTTCCCAAGCGATTGGAGCAATTCTGCTCGCCTTGACAAATCCCAGCCGCTGTTCACGATTCGCACGCACTGTGCTCCTTGGATACCGTGAGGTTGCATGTTGCTTCCCTGTGCAAGCTCGCAAGCCCGCTTAGCACCAAAAGGAGAAACAAATCAAACAAGTTGGGACATTTGGGGTGGGTGGTCAAGTGATTACAGTTACTAAGAGGGGAAGGCTAGTATCATTGGCCCCCTGACCTGTCTCCACAAAGCTGGGTATGAGAATCAGAAACTTGGCCGAAGACCCACTAAACCAACCCTCGAGCAACCTACACAGTTCTGCGCCAAGGAAGTCAACTGGCTTGAAACCGCGCTGTCTCTTCCTGACCTCGTCCTGTCATGCCACTCTGCGGACCAACCAAGCAACCAAGCAACCAAGCAACCAAGCAACCAAGCAAGCAAGCAAGCAAACAAACAACCAATGCAGGGTCACCAGGGTACAGCACCATGCCTCCAGTAAAGATCATAATTTTAAACCAAGAAGAGGAAAGCATTTTTTTTGCTTGGCCCTTTGGCCTGTCGTATCCAGGTGAGCACATAGCTTGCCCGTTCCAGGAACTTAGCAACATGTGCTGCACAAACGACCTCTGAAGCATGGCCTGCCCGGAAATATTAGCATCATCATTATGCTTGCAGCTCATTCCACATAGCTCCCCATCATTCGCCTAAAACCAGGGGAAACACTGGCCAGCTCCGGAGCCGACCAGTGTCCCACCAAACAATCACTGCAAAATCCCAATGCGCATCCAGGACTAATGAACAACTTGTTGGTTCTCATCCTGAGAATGAGGGAAGACTCTTATAAACCATCCTTTATGGTGTCCCTTAAGGGAATCCCTAGGTTCATTCCCAACACCCTGGGTCGTTCCCCACTGGGCACCAGCAAGACAAATGTGGGTGTAACACTCCTGCTAATCCGCAAGGTTGATTAGTCACATTTGGCTAGCTTGCGTGTGAATGGGGATGAAAGCCATCTTCGGGCGACCAAACAAAAACCAGAGATTTCGCGCATTGAAGGTTTCCTAGCAATACACAAGTTCAAAACTCTTGATGGATTTGATTTAAACCGAGTGTCTGGGATGAGTCGTATGGAATCTGCTCAACATGTATTGCCCCATTTGAATCGATTCAGAGATCATCAACTGTGTCGCGCCACATGCTAGAACTCAGTAGCTGAACATATGGAGCCCTTCATCAATGAAGCCCTGGACATATGGAATGGTGTAGACAGATTGTACAGGCTAGCGTGGGCCCCACATGGCAAGCAAACCTGATCGACAACCTGTGTATCCGCTACATTGGCCTTGGCTTTCCTTCCTTGTCCCCTTGGATTCCTCCCTCGGAGCCCTCGTCATCTTGCTTCATCTTGCTAAGCCAAGGCTCAGAATTACAAAGTCGAACTCGCTGCCCTGGCACGCGTCCACCGTGAGCACCTGTCGATCGGATGGATGGACAGGCAGAACCCCCCTCTCCCAGGTTTTGCAAGCTGGTTGCGGGCATGGGCAGCTCAGCAAACGTGGAATTGAATGCAACGTCATATCGAAGTTATCGAAGCGTCAAAAGATGCTGATAAACGATGGGTACAGGATGCATTGAGGCAAAAGGGCAGCAAGCAAGCTGCAACACTCTTTTCAAGCGACGCAACATCTCTCCAAGTGATGCAGAACCAATGACAGTCACAGCCGAAAGACGTGTCCGACATGCAGATGCCAGCAAACAATCAACTTGCCTTTCGCAAGCTGTCAGGGAGCTAAGAACAAATCCTGCATCCATGTTGCACTCCCGGCGCTCCAACTGGCACCAAGGGCCGACGGCAGGCCCCTTCGCCAGCTGAGGAACTCAACGGCCGTCGAGTCGAGCTTCGCTTCGGAGGCAGTCCATGACGGGCGACGACTCCCAAGCTCTTCAAGTCGGGGCCTGGACATGGAAGAGCCTCTCTCCCCCAAGATCACCTGATTCACATGATCCTCCAAATCAGCTTGTCACAGTGGTTTGCAACATGGCCAAACATGTTTCATGGGAGATTGCCAGATGCCATTTAGCCAGGAGCTGTCTATGTTAATACGCACAAGAGAGGGCCTGCCTATTACTTGGGTTTTTCAACTTGAACTGCTAAAGTGTTCGCCTCTCAAACCCACCCAAACCCAACCCAAACCCACCCACATCCCAGCCAAATCCAACTCAACCCCAATCCCAACACCCACACCAAACCACCCAAACAAAAAACAGAAACGAACAGTCAACAACCCCGCCTCTCTCATCATGTCCCGCAGCAAAGGCTGGAGGTACTCCGCGAGTCTCAGTGCCTCGATGGCCACTTCGATGGACGCCACGTTCTCGGGGACACTTTTTTCCAGCGCTGCGCGGGCGCAGCGCTCCTTGAGCTCACGGTACTCCGGCTCCTGCGTTGAGCAAAGTCTGGCAAAGTCTCTCAAAGGGCGCAAGCTTCTGGCGGGTGACACGTCAAACTCTTGGACAGTTGCGAGCCAAACAAGCAGAAAAGGGAATCTTTGGTAAGAGCACCATTGGGACCAACCAAAGTTTTGCATGAAGCAGCGCATAGGCTCAGAGATTCGGTCAGTGAGCGTATGAATCCCATGAGGGGCTACAGGCGGCACCGTCAAGTCTTGCTTGCATTATTCATGGGGGCCGGTGAGGATGAATATTCCATTTGCAATAAGTCCAAAGCACGACGTGTTCGAACTTCAAAAACACGAGCCCTGCGCTTGTGCCAGGCTTATTTATGGCTTCTACGATAGTGTCAAAAAGATAAGCATGTTGCAAGGGATTGTCATTGGGGGACCCTAATCTCGCTACGGGTGTCAGAAGGCAAACCCCTGAGTCAACATGCCACAACCACATTTCAACCATCCGGATGGATGCCAATCTTGACCGAAAGACCCACCCTCCGCAAAAAAAAATCGCAATCCTTCCATTGTCCAGAAGAAGGGGATCCCGAATTTTCTGCAAACGGCATCAATTACACCCTGGACCCAAGTCCTGAGTGATGAGGTACGAAAGCCACCCGGGATTCTCCGCCATGCGGGCGTTGACTCGAGCATCTGCGGCATCGTCCACCATCTCCTCTGACAAAGCGCAGGGCTGCAAACTGGGGTCAGGGACGGCCACAGCCTCGCACTAGACAGGTGATGCATTCATAGGGTTTTATCCATCCCAAGTGATGCAGGATTTTGTCTAACGTATGGGGGAATATTCGGCAAATACTGGGCAAAAGAAAGTGTGCCCCTCCCCCCCCAGGGGTATGTAGCTTCTGAAAGTCTTTTGGTGAGCGTCCCTGACAATAGAGGTCAAGGGATTGCTCATTCCCATTCTGATGTCGCTTTGTCTCGCACTTTAAGGGGATTCACTCGGTATTACAGAAAGTGCCCCTAAACCCCAATGACTTCCGACCATGGGTGGTAGTCCGTCTTTCATGGACTGAACGCCGTCCGCAGTCTTTAGCAGACTTTCAGGCACACTCATCTGATCACTATCATGGGTCGCAATGCCCGGTGAGCAGCACATGTCATGAAGACAGAATATACACAGCAGCAGACACAAAAAGGTGTCAGATCTGCGATCACTGCTTTCAAATGGATAATACATAGAAGCCAAATGTTTACGCTGAGCCCACCCTGCCAACATGAAGAATACTCGCTGTTAAAGAAACCTCCGACTGCCGAAATCATAACACAACCGTTCATGAAAAGGTGGGCACGACGTCAGAATTGCTGAAAAAAGGCATGCATGCAGCAACATCGATTTGAGCGGCACTCGTGAAGCGCCAAACACAACAATTCTGTCAACGTGGAGACATGTCAAGCGCGCGAGAATTCTTCACCGTGGCAGTCTTGGCCCTGGCAAAACCCACATTTGATGGCCCAAGTGTGTGTGCGATCAAGACCGGGCCAGTGAGGCATGGGCAGGCGTGGCTTAGAAATGACCCTGGCAATGCTTTCAGGGCCATCCTTGCATAAATCGTAGTGTCATACATGGGGATGATTTTAACTCGGGACCCTTTGGTCGACATCATTTAAGTGGGGATTTATGTCCACCAGCCACTTTTCAGGGGGTTCCCCATTAAAATTCATAGCCATATGAGCGCTCATATGAATTACGACTGATCACATTAACTGCAGTCACCTGAGCATTTGCGAGACGTGTTTACTGACTCGCGCATCGACTGCCTGCTCCTGCCAGTGTCGGGTTCCCTCCACGCATCAACGCATGTTGTGAGAGAGTCAGAACGAGCTACGCAAGTTTCTGATGCTCGGCAAGCGGTAAATGCTACATACCCAAATATACCTTTTGTGAGTGGCACTGAGGGACCGAGTGCCATCCCATGTTGTCTCATGATATGTGTTGTTAGAAAACGTTGTTCAGCGACGTCCTCGCCTCTACATCCAGCTCTATGTTGAGATGTCGCTGATGCGTGACTCGGAAGTTCGCATCCAATAATGCTTGAACATGCTCGAACATGTTTCCACAATTACTCCCGTTGGGTTCCATGTTTCCAACACGTATTTCTTGGATGCGACATCGATCGGTACCCCCTCGTTGAATTGAACAAGGCAATTATGCAAAAACACTCATTTCCAACCACTTGTCAAAGACCTAGTCACCTAACCTCACGTCGGTCCTCTGACCACCTCTCCGCTGACCCCTGGCAAAAAGGTTTCCTGTGCCGTTGCCTTTGTTTGTAGACGATCAATAGGCGGGGCTTGAGCCAATGTCAACCAGCCCCTTGTGCTTTCGGTTTGGACAGATCCAAATACATGCACTACCCCGCTTTCCGAAAAAGCATCTTCAGTCACTTCAGTGGGCTTCTTCCTGAAAACTCCCCCCCCCCCCCCCCCCCAGACCCGCCACCGGCGTGCTCCGGCGCCTGGCGGTACACGTCCCGGCCGTCGGGCTCCGTCACCGCCAGGCAGCTGCCAGCGCCGGAGCAGCGGTCCGCCACGATGCGCAGCGATCTTCCGGAGCAGTTGGTGACGGTGAAGTCCACCTGAAGCGGGTGACCAAATGTGGGGAAAGGCTGATGGAACCCGAGAGAGGAGATTCCTCTGTTGGGTATGCGCCCCTTAAATCAGTGGTGGCAATATAGTGATGTTATATCCATATTTCTCCTCGGCAGTGGTGTTCCGGGTGGCAAGAAGTTCAGACATGTCTCCTTTAAACATGCCCGCTCAAAGGCAGTTCCTCTGAATGACCGAGAAAGAAGTCGCTTGAACCATCCCATAGAGACCCCTGAAGCTCCAGGAGCTCGGGTCTGATGTCTGCGCCCACCGCACCATTTGCTCTGCTGAAAGTCATGTTGCGCTCACCAGTATTTGTTCACGAAATTCTCAAAGCTGGATAAAGGGAACAAATCAGGAACCTTAGAACATATTACAATTGCTGGGGAAGCAATAGAAACAAACTAAGCCCTACACTGTGATTAACAAAAAAACACGGAGACGACGACAACACACGACGATGGCGATGATGCGAGCAGGCGCGCTGGCAAAACTTCCACCGGGAGATAGCAAGGATGAGCATCCAGTTTCAAGAGCGACTTTGGCTCTCAGAGTCCTGGTATCTGGGTGAGGCTCCTTGGGGCATACCAAAGGGGTACTCAGCGGGTACCTGGGATGAACAAAGGTGAATTCGAGGCCCGGCCAGTCCTTCAGTTTTAATTGACTGGAGGTTCACTACACGCTGAACGCTAGCGTAAGTTGAATTAGGCCCAAGTCCCAGGCCAAACCCGGGTGCTCATGAAATACCCTTCCCTTGAACCAAGCCCCAAAAGGGCATCCAAATCAACCAAGAAACACAACCCCTCTTGTTTCAAGACTCCAAAAACAGGTCCCATACCTCACCCACCCAGTTCCAGCCAATCCACCCACCCCACCCACCCACCCACCCACCCACCCACCCACGGTCGCCTTGGAGAAGTCGGAGTAGTTGCCCAGCGCCAGCCACTCGCAGCCGGCCGCCGCGTGCTGCACCTACGTCCGGACAACTTTGCGGAATGCGCCAAGGGACCATTCTGAAGGGTAACTCCTTTGGCTTCCTGTCAACCTCAAGGATCCACTTTTGACCACATCCCTGCTGACACATCCCATGCTGACTTGAGCTCACTCTCTGAAAAGCAACAAGTAAACAGCTGAGCAAATCAGGACCGACATAAACGGTTCCTTCCCACTGTATTGGACAAGACCAAACGCACGACTAAAAGTCAAAGGTTGATTTTCTTGAAGCTGGGGAAGAACAACTTGAAGAAGAGGCCAAACAAGAAAACAACTTCTGCACATGCTCACGTTCCAGAAGTACACGCCCATCAACTGAACCAAATGAACTGGTAGAAATCAGCAGCGCACATCAGCACACACACGCACACAAACAATATTATCATTTACAAACTTCAACCGAGGGATCCCGATTCAAGTCAATA